ATCCGATGATTTAGTGACCTGGTCGTAAAAGGCCACCAGGAAGTATTGGGAGCTGCATAATTAAGGTTGTAAAGTCACACATGTGTACAGCTGTGTGTGGGGGGGAGGGTGTCTTAAAAAGAAAAGTATACTTTTTTCTTAGAGAAAGAGAGAGAAAGAATGAATTATATGTGCTGATTGGTACTCATGTTGTTGGCTACCCTTGTAAAGATGCTAATGTATTACAGTGATGAGCTGCTATAAGAACCAAAACAGACATTAACAAAGCAGAATGTACTCATTGCCTCAGTCTTATTTCATCAGTGCTCAATGGGACCTTATATACATTCAAATATACATGCACGTGTGCACATGCATGTGCACACAAATTAAATACTGCAGCTTTAATATATTTCCTATACAGTCACTCCAGTGACAATCACTTGTTATGCAGATATTTCAAAATACATAGCTGATGTCAGGTAGAGCTAAAGCAGAGTGTATTTCTGAGTAAAATCCCAGTTGCTTTTAAGCCACTCTCCAAAAAACAAATAGATGAATTGAATAAATTAAAGCACAACACATAGTAGGGATCCACTGATAAAGATTTTTTTGCCAATACTAATCCAATAGCCAATACGCAGCCTGGCAGCTTGGAGAGTAGTGTTGGGCTGGTAAGTTGGGGGAGGGGAGGAAGAAGGGATGTGGGGGGAGAGAAAGGGTTTGGGGGGAGCCCCAAGGTGAGGGTGGGAATAGGGTTGGGGCAGGGGCTGCCTGGCCAGGGCAGGGTGGGGAGTGGGACATGGGTGGCTCATCTGGGGGGCCAAGTGAGGTTGGGGGGGCAGTTCCCCGCAACTGTGTGCACCCCTGGGGAAGGCATGTGGGGCATGTACCCCTTGGGTTTGTGCATGGAGGAAGGGCAGGCTGCATGCTCTGGGCTTGGAGCCAGGGGCTGTGCTGGCTTCTTCCTGGTGGGGGGACTAGACCAGGGCTGCACTCAGGGTGGGGGGGCAGGGTGGGCAGCAGCGGCACTGGGGAGGGCGGGCTGTAGTGAATTCTGGGGTGGCTATAGCCCATTCCATAGCCACCCCTCCCAGCATTGCTTCCACCCACTCTGCCCCCGCCTGCCTCGAGTGCAGCCCCAACCCTGCCCCACCTGCTGGGAAGAGGCCAGCATAACCCCTGGCCCTGAGCCCACAGCAGACAACCCACCCTCACCCAGTGCACAAATCTGGGAGGGAATGCACATGCCCCCCATGCCTCTCCCAGGGCGTGCACAGGAGCAGGGAGCTGTTCTCCTCCCCATCCCCACCCCAAATGACCCGCTCACAGCTCTGTCCTGCACCCCACCCCACCGCACCCTGGCTGGGCAGTGCCTACCTCTTCCCCTGCCCCTGGCCCCAGCTCCATTGCCTCCCTCACCATGGGGGCCTGATCTGCACCCCTAATGCCTCTTTCCTCCCCCATGTTCCTTCTCCCCACAGTGGCAGGATGCAGTTCTCCACACTGCCAGGCTGCATTCCTGGTCATGTGCATGCTACGGCTGTGCACATGCAATTGGCATTTATCAGGAACATTATCAGATATACTGCCAAAAAAAGACAACTGCCGATAATGTCAATTTTCCTTTTATTGGTGCCAATCTGATATGGACCAATATAACTGGTGCACCTCTAACAGGTAGCACTTGAGATATTTCTTCAAACTATGAAAATACTCTTGAATATTATATAAGATCCATTTAAGATGTCAGTGGTG